GTGTGCCTATTGAATTCTATGAATAAAATGACCCATAAAACATGTGTCGCACATGCCCTTTTCTATATTTTGTTTTTGGTGACCTGACCTGACCTTGACCTTGACCTTTGAATGATATTTTATGCAACAAATATTGTCTTGGTAGCCTAAGAACACGTTTTGGGCAATCAGTCTCCGTCCATTCTTCGGCAACTACGGTGCAAGGCCGATACTGTAGAAACTTGCATTTTGTACCCTTGACCTGACCTTGACCTGACCTCTGACCTACTTAAGCAAAAAAAATGGGCACTTAAGATCCGCCTTGTTGAGAGCTTTCGATTGCCGTTTTCCCCGTCTTTCTACGACCATCGGTTCGGAAGTTAGACAGGGGGGGGCAGAATCTTCCCCCCCCCCCCAGCAGGGCGCGTATGGCTGAATAGCCCAGCGGGGCGCGGGTTAAGTGTCTATACTATGTTCCGTTTCAAGCTTGCAGCCGAAGTACCCTGCTGAAAGCAGTGCGTGATTTCTGTATATACAGCTCTTACATTTTAAGACGCAAATTCTTGAGCGGAGGAGCGATCTGCCAAAGAAACTCCGATTGCAAGCTTGATATGGAACAGACTATAGTGACGATTAACAAACTGTTAACGTCTATAATAGTAGTAGACATTTCTGTCATTTTACCGTCTCGTTATTTTCACCAGTATGCGCAGGGAAACGCAATGAAACATCATTTTCCTTTTCCTTTTTTAGTTCTAGTTCTGACTTCATATTTGGTGTACCTGTCAATTTTAGACCGATCACATTGTTTGCACCGTTTTTCAAGGCTTCATCTGTCTGCTTCTCGTTGTCTCTGGCTCTGCTGAAATATGTCGTATTTTTATACAAAATGTATTTTTTTTTTTACCTTAACCCTCGCCGGACCTATTGGTTTTCTACATACGCGCCGGCCGAGGGGGGGGGGGGCGGGTACGACCCCCCTCGCCGTTTCGCCCCTAGTGGAGCTAGCGCGTCGCGGAAAAAACGAGCGTGTGCGCCGTTACGAGACGCAGAGATTGGTACCCGATTTTAAGGTCCTAGGTCAACCGGTGATCTCTGTGGTCAGGTCAAGTGCCCCAAGGTACGGTTCAGTTTTTGGTGAATAACTTCGCAAAAAAAAACGGCCGCAGAGCCGCGATTTTGGCAGCATCGTGTTCGCCTCGCTCAGGCGCGTCGAATGATATACTTTTTGTTCGGGTCAGGTCAACTTAGGGTGTTGACCTCAGGTCAAGTTCAGGTCAGCACCCCCAGGTCACCAAGTTGGTCGAAAGAGGTCATGTCGCATATCATTCGATTCGGCAGGTCTTCCTGAGTCCATTGGTGGCTTTCCCGACTCGCTAGCTCAATTTGATCAAGAGTTATTGACGAAAAACTAATATGACATTGATGACGTCATAAATGACGTCACGCAAGGTCAACATTGCAAAAGTGACGCATCTAACCTTGCAAGGAGTGCATCAAATCACGATTCTGTGTGCTTGAGATAGTTGGAGATCGTTCCCGGCGCCAGAATAGCAGTTTCCATTTTTCCCCATTGACTTATAATGGTGAGGTCACGAAAATGACCTGACCTTATATGACCTTTAGGAAAAGTCCGAGATATACAAGCTGTGAGACTCATAATGGATACTAGATCCTGCAAGTTTCATTTCCCTGTGACATCTCCTCTGGCAGTGAGGGCGTTGCGAAGTTGCGACATCTGAAGACCGTGCAGAGGTTCACTTATGACGTCATAGGTAAGTGACCTGACCTGACCCAAAAATGCGGTTGGTGTCAAAAGATCCGGCTTGAATCAAAGGTCAGGTATGCCCAGTTTCAGCTCTTTATCGCCAGCGTGTTCGGATCTATCGCGAAAAAAAACTATGGGGAGGGGCGGCACCCCCCCCCCCCCCCCCTCGGCCGGCGAGGGTTTAAGCTCCCGAAAGATATCGGCGGTACGGAATAAAATTATTAAACCGTTCGTAGGTAAAAAAAAAATTAAGCATCTCGCCTATCACCTCGACGTTTAAAAGATTTGTTCTACCTACTCGCGGTTTAATATACATATAATAAATGTCATGCGGCGTATGTTTTCCGGCTAGTATTGGTTAGAAAGGCATCGCCTCTCGCCTCTAGGAGGCATCGCCTCTCAGTGTCCCAGAATGTGCTGATTTGGGTGGAAAACGACATTCAAATGAAAATCATTTTGCACTATCAACTCTAACTTCTAAGAGCAATTTTCCACATCCAATTCTATCGAGAAAAAGCATTTGCATGGACGTTCGTGGTACATCCCACCTTGTAAGTACCGTAAGGTGGGGCTATTTGAGACAGTGGGGCTATTCGAGACAGTATTCAAAATTGTTTTAAAATAAAAACCGTTTGAAATGTATGCTTAATTTTTGCTCAGGCGATTTACTGCTCGATTCCACACCTCCCTGAGCAAAAATATCACAAAAAATCAAACGATCTTCATTTCATAGCGACAGAGGCGGATCCAGCTCAGAGGTTTTTTTTTTGGGGGGGGGGGGGCAAACCATAACAATTTATCGATTCTTTCCATGCGTCGTCCATAGGCGTAATGTTAAAATTATGCCGTTTGGGGGGGGGGGGGCAAATGCCCATTTTGCCACCCCCTGGATCCGCCACTGCATAGCGATTTTAAATACTGTCTCAAATAGCCACACTGTCCCCTGGGCATCGCCGCGTATTGGCTAGTCACGTGACCCATACCAGTGACCTGAGTCTGGGTCAAGCGTGGCGGCAGAAGCCGTTTCCCGAGAAACACTCATCGCGCGCTGACCCGGTATCATCCACGGTGAAAGAGCATCCCTTATCGATGCGCTATCGCGCTGTGGGCATAGTGAACGGCGGCCTGACCCAGGTTCAGGTCGCTAAACAGCTGAAGATTGGGCAAAGAACCCTCAAACGCTAGATGGCCCTCGGCCGCCAAGGGGAGACGCTGGAGAATCGTAAGGGCAGGGGGAGGAAGACGGCCATGAGTCGAGTGGCAAAAATCGTCGTGGCCAAGTCAGTGCTGAAACGACACCAGTGAACAAGGAAGTCGGTGCGAAAACTGACTGCGAAACAGCATCCAGTCCTCAAGTCGGCCTTGCATTGCTATTTGCGGCACTGCCTGAAGCTGAAGCCGCTGAAATTGCGCAGGCAGCCCAAAATGACACCAGCCCAGCGACAGAAACGGCTGGACTTCGCGCGAGGTCGCCTCAACTGGTCCATCTAGGACTGGAGGCGGATGCTCTTCTCAGACGAGTCTCCGTTTGAGTTGTACCACCCACCGAACCGCAAAAACAGCCGCGTTTGGGCCAGCAATAGCTCAGAAGTGCCCATTTCCCACACCGTTAAGCGGCCGTCCAAGGCGATGGTCTAGGGCATGATGAGCTTCCGTGGCCTCTCAGACCTCCACATCGTGCCCCGCTGCAAAATCATCACGTCGGATTTCTACGTGGAGGAAGTGCTAAAGGGGACGGCGACATCGGCGATGAGGCGACGGACGGAGAATGGGCCTTCAATAGTTGTCAAACTTCTGCCCGACATGTCGCAGGCCATTTTTCAGCAGGATGGAGCTCCAGATCACACCGCTGCCAAGATCCAGCGTTGGTGCCAGGACAACTTCCCTGCCTTTTGGGCGAAGGGAGTATGGTCGGGCAACAGCCCAGACCTGTCGCACATCGAAAACCTCTGGGCGATCGTCCAGGACAAGGTCGACAAGATTGACCCAGCGACGTCAGAAGCCACTCTCATCGAAAACGTCCGCTTGGCCTGGCACAGCATCACGGCAGAGATGCTGGACAACCTGATATGTGGGATGTCGGAGCGCATGAGGGCCTATGGGGAGAAGCCTGGCGACTATATCAACACATAAACCATCAGTAGCACTTTCTTTGTTTTCTTGTTATTGGACGAAGTTGAGGGGGCCATCAATTTCGGGACACCCTGTACATTTGTAGGTCAGATGTCAACATTTTTCAACAAATCGGCGGACAGCTTGGAAACTAATAAAGCTACAGCGCCGCGGAAAGGCGCATTTGATAGCCCTATTAACGCTCTTTCTGAGTAATTCCTCAGATTTGACCTACCGTTAACGGTTTTGCCTGCAGGCCAGGGGGCAAAAACTGCCAAAATACCCGATTTTTTCGGAAATTTATTTTGCAATAACTTTTGACTCAAACCTTGCACGAACTTTCTTTTACTAGCATCGTGTTCCTTTCATCAAGACGCGTCGAATAGACTATCACTTACCTTGAAAGGTCAACTTGCAAATTTCACCTGAAGTCAAGGTCTTGACCTGACTGGTAAGGGTCAAGTTGCATATCAGTCGATCCGTATCGTCGAGCCAAACACAACTAAGGTGTTTTCATCGTTCTAGCATGCCTCTACCAAAAGTTATTCACGAAAAACAGTCAGATACCATTGGCAACCTGAGATGACCTTAAGGGGTCACGGGTGCCATTTTCATGTTCAGTGTGTCAAAGATACTGGTAATTCAGTGTTTATAGTGTTTATAATGACTTCCGTCTAAAGGAGGCAACTTTCAATTTTATCCCATTGTCTTATAATGGGGAGGTCGCAAAATTGACCTGACCTTAGGTCATCGATAACAAAATTCCAAGAGGTACATTTTGTACATACTGTTGCTCTTAACATGCTGAAAGTTTCAAAGTGATCAGTCACTCAGTGTAGCTATGGCAGACATTGAAACTTTTTATGTAGTGAGGTCACTTGACCTGACCTGGTGACCTGACCTTAAGTGACTTGGGTCTTAAATTTTCACTACATACCTATGTAGAAAAGATTATGATGAGGCATTTTTGAGATATTCGCAAAAAAAAAAACGCAGGGGGTGTTCAAACACTCCCCCAGCAGGGCGCAGGTTAACCCATGCCCTGTCATAGTTTTATGGACCCAGGAGTAAAGTAAAATGGGCATGCCATGAAAAACTAAGGATTTACATACAAGTAAACACACAAACAGGCTGAACTTACTTGACAACACGTTGAACATCTTGATCTTTTTTAATGGCACCATCAGGACCCAGTAGAACACTGAGAGTTATCAGAAGGTTGAGTGGGTCGATCCGAGACTGAAAAACAACAAAACCAATATGATAATACTGTGACCCTGCCAATACAATACTATCAGTTGGCAACAGGTGCAGTTAAAGGGACCCTCCCACCTTCAAAAAAGTTAATGAATTGGCATGAAAGTGATGTCGCTCGGTTCAGAAAGAGCAAGAACGAATATCTACCAAATTTCATCGAAAAATATTCACCGGTTTTCAAGATATTAGACTTTTACTTTTGTTTACTTTTTGGGATCTCCGCTGTTCCTATAGCGACTCTATTTGAATGTGCGGCATTTGTTGCGCGCAAAGCAGCATATACCACCGTGTGCTACAAAACGTTTTAGTCAAACATTTAAAAATCGTTAGATATCTGCGCTGACGTCACACATTCAGAGGGGTATACCTATGCATTAGCCCCTCTGAATCAAAATGCTGCAATTTTGAAATTCAATATTTCCGATTTAAGGTATTTCTCGATGTTGTGAGTGCCGAAACCGGTAATTGTGAGCCAGCTGCCAGGGACCCCATTTTGGCTATCTCAACTCAAATCTAATGTTAAGGTGGGAGGGTCCCTTTAAACATTTACTTTACATACATAAACAACTATTGGATGACTTAAGACCAAGTATTCTCATGGTTAAATCAAACTTCTACCTACCTAATGAAGAAAAACAGAATGACACCTCTAAAAATAGGAAAAAGCATATGCTCAGATGAACTTGGCTTCACCATTGATAGGACCTGATCACATGTCCAAAATTGAGCACTTAAACATTTAACACTTTCTGAGGGAAAATGGCTTTACTTATCAGAAAAGGTGATATACAGCGAGTTCACTCTCTGGACTTGCAGGACTTTCAGGATGATAGCTTGGATGGAATTTGTCAAACTACACCATTTTCAATCCAATTAAATCCAAATGAAGTCAAATTACAAAGGTTATTTCTATATTTGAAAGATTGAAAGATGGGTTTAAACACACAACATTCAGGATTTAGCAACTGACATATGATTTTGTGTCAGTTGTTTTACGTAAGCTGAACGTCATATTTTAACCTGCCTATCAACTATTTTAATTAAAGAATCAACTTAAGAATTGGACTTAATTTGCATTAAATTGTACCATAAAAGCCACATGAATGAAACATTTCCAGAGAAAAATGTGTTTTTCATTGAATTAGTTCACAATCATGCCCCATGCAAATGAAAAGTGTTAAAGTTGTAAGGTAGATAGTAGATACCATATCCAGGCCAAGCTCCGAGCAGAAATTGCAATTTACACACTAAGCGCAACACAATCAGTCAGTCAGGGAAACTTTAGATATACACAATTGAAGTAATTAACAATGTTGGCAATAGACAGCCTTCCGTTGATTAGTATTAGTTAGGTTCAAACAAAACAATGATTAATTCGGGAACAGCTGAATACTGATAGCCCTCACCATTGTGCGTCGAATACAATTATGACGCCCAACTTCGCCGCAGCTCCGAAGATACGATCCTTACACCATTACCTCCCGCGATTCGCGTGTAATATATGTTCGGCAAAATTCAGACTCAGCAGGCCACTCTAATATCTAAGGACCAAATCCTTTATTCAGCCAAAATCGCTTGACTAAGAGGTCACTGCGTCAGCCGTATGTCGAACGGGCCCCGCCGCGCCTACCAGGCAGGGGTTCTCCGCGTTTTGGTTTTCGGTGACTTTGGAACCCTTTATTAAACCTTCAATTGCCTACTTAGCTAGAGCTGATGAAATATTTTATGTGTATCCTGATAAATGGTTCAACAAAACCCGTATCCTAGCCCCAGCTGGCACGCCCGAGTCCCGACAGCAAACAAGCGGAAATGGCAATGGCCGACTGCTTACGACACTCACTTGATCAATCCTCTCGATGAGATTTGAAATACGTCAAAATCGTTTTGAAGTCTTGATTGAAACATAAGTGAGAACATTTTTGTATAAATTTCCAATGTTTTATTTTTTAATCGTAAAATACTTATTTTTCACCCTTTTAATCATAACAGATGAAATTAATAGGTGTATTACGTCATCAAAAACATGCAGTTTATCATTTTCTTTCTTTTCTTACCTTTTTACAAGGTCGCGTCCGGCGTCACACGATTGCGACAGAAGGGTCAGATGGTTTGTTATCACAATCAGTAAAATTACGAAAAAGATTTTAACTAAGGGCCTTTCAAGACAGGCATCAGCGTGAGAGTCAGAGGGCTAGAGGAAAGCTTAGCCCGCCCCACTTCTTGGTATTTGGGGCTTGGCACGTCCCGTCCCGTAGGGGGGGGGGGCATAGGCGGCGGAACGGGGAGGGCACCGGGGCACCGTGCCCACCTTTGATTTTGGCATTTTAACATTAGCCCTATGGGCGTTGCATGGAAAGAATGGGAATTGGGACCAAAAGTCGGCAGTGCCCCCCCCCCTTAACCCGCGCCCCGTAGGGGGGGGGCCGAAACGGCCCCCCCCCCCTGTCCTTTTCGGTCGATATCTCCTAAACGGCTGGAGATATCGCCACCAAACTTTCAGGACCCCTCCGGGCATCGATTTTACACATTGTGACCAAAAATTTTTCCAGAGGCTATGATAGGTTGGCCACAAATGACGTCAGAATGACGTCATGTTCTGTCATTTTCGACCGAAAAAAGACCTTCGCGAGAAGACCTGTCAGGCCTACAGCTTTGAGGATACAGAAAAATGATCAAGACACAAAAGGTGTAGAATTGACAGGGCTACAAAACTGCTATCTCGGATTTTTGAAATTTTTGAGTTTTGACCCCCAAAAATCAAAAATGAATTTTTTTTATATATAAGCCGAAAAATCCAAAAAGTTTTTTGATTTTCGAAAAAACCGGAATATATGTGATAGTACCTACCGTCTTCTATCTACATACCAAATTTCAGATCGATACCTCGTTTTTTGGCCAAGTTATAGCGAAAAAACTGTTCAAAAATGATGACGTGAAATTTTCAAACTCAATTTTTGGCAATTCTAGACCTCGTAGAGCAAAACAAAGACCACCATTGGACTCCCCGTGACGAGCTGCATCGAATCGAAACCCATTTTATGCAAAAATATCAACTTTGAAATTTGACCTAATTTGACCTGACCTTGACCTGACCTTCACCAAAACGTGACCTAGGCTGGCCCCAAAGGCTACCTAACCCACATAATCGCATTTGTCATGTAAAATAGACCATAAAACATGTATCACACGACACTTTCATAATGTGACCCCCGGTGACCTGACCTCGCTGTGACCTGACCTGGTATCAGTGACCTCAGATAGCAAAGTATGTGTTTGACGAACAATGTACCATCGATGGTTTTCAATAAATTACCAATTTACTCGATTTCACAACACATTTCTTGAAATGCCTGTGAACGGTGAAAATCTGACCTTTGACCTGACCTGTGACGTCATCGGTTTGACCTAGGTCAATGAAATTTGGTCACAAGGTAGTTCCCGGGTGGGGCTATCGAACGCCGTTTGAATTTTGAAAATCGGCCGGTAACTTTCCGAGATCTTAGGGGGGGCCGAAACGCCCCCCCCCCCCCCCCTACGGGTGGTAGGGTCCGCCGGTAGCCCTACGGGGCGCGGGGGTGTTCCGCCGCTACTGGGGGGGCGGGCCGGGGGGGGGGGAGAAGGCGAAGAAACGGTTCCTGTTCTTTTCCGTAGATATCTCCTAAAATACTGCAGATATCGCCATTCGCCGCTTAACTTTCAGGAAACCTCCGGGCATCAATTTAACGAGTAGTAAAGTAATCTTGAATTTAACATGCCGTGGCCTATTTTTTTTCCAAAGGTTTGATAGGTTGGCCACAAATGACGTCAGTGGCGGATCCAGAGGGGGGCCATGGGGGCCATGCCCCCCGGGCCTCCCGGGGGGCACCATCACGGAGGGTTTTTTTAATTCACGGAGATCACTGACGGGAGCTTCAACCCAGAGGTCTCCTAAGGGGGCACCATCCAGAAGGTCTATCTCTATCGGAATAGGGTACCGTTTTCGGGGTCTCCCAGAGGCCCATTTCTGTCCCTCGCCTCGGGTGGGGCTATTTCCATCCCGAGGTCCGCGGGGACACCATCTCGATTTCTCCGGGGTCACTATCCTGAGTTCTGCGTGGGCACCATCCCAAGGTCGGAGGGGCACCATCTCGAGGGTCCGGGGCTAGAGACGTGGGTTGGTGGGCTTAGTAGCTTCAGAGACAACTACCGGTACCGATGGATTGTCGACTTGGAGACTGGATGACTGTTGGCAATTAGCCTCCTTGCACGTTTCCTTGTGGATAAGCCAGTCTTTAGCTCCGCACTTCGCTATGACGATCTGCGCTATACCCGGCTGGAGGAAGTCTTCCTGCCTCGACCTAGCTTGTTCTCAGGCGTCTATCCGCTTCTGTCCCGTGACAAGCAGAGCTAAATCGTGCGGCAACTCATGCACAGAGCCTCGGCGACCTGGCCGTGGGTCATGCCGCCGGCAACCATGCCGACTGCCCCGCTGCGGGACGATTTGCACTGCAGTTTTGCCATCCTGGACAACTGGTCCGCGCGCGCTGGGCTCTGCCCCGGAAATGACCTCCGTACACTCTTTGACCGGTCAGGGTCACAAAAATTCGAAGGTCACGTGCAGGGCTGCGGAGTCGGAGTCGGAGTCGGAGTTGGAGTCGGTCGGAGTCGACAATTCTGCCCGGAGTCGGAGTCGGAGTCGCCAAAATCTTATCGACTCCGACTCCGGAGTCGGAGTTAACGCTGCATGGCTCCACGTCATGCACTGCACCTGTTGAATTGACGATACTGCTCTCGAAATTAGATTTTGTCGAAAAATGACCACTTCGCTGTTTTGGACGAATGTTTTCAGCGAAAGAAGCAGAAGACGGTGAATTCCCCAGAACCTGCCTGTTAATTCTGAATATTGTTTTTATGCATACCTATTTGCAACGCAAAGCCCTGGAACGCACAAAGGATCGTTTCAGGCAAGACTAAAACATATCCATTATGAGCTTCAGTATCATGATATGGATTTTAATAGAACCGTCCGGAGTCGGAGTCGGAGCTGGAGTCGGAGTCGGAGTCGATTTTTAAAGCCGGAGTCGGAGTCGGAGTCACCCTAAAATCCATCGACTCCGCAGCCCTGGTCACGTGACTAGAATGCAGCCAAGATGGTCTGGGAGCCAGTACCGGCGAAATTATATTGATAAATGATATCGCCGTAGAAGGCAAAGTAAAGGTTGTGTGGGAGGGTGTGACATTAATTTTGGGACACCCTGTACCTATGTAGGATGTGACATTAGCCCCGTTTACTAGGGATTGTTGCAAGCTTAGGGCTCCGCCCGTTATGTTGCAAAAGATGGTAATGATGCTTTACAATTTACAAAATTGCCCACTCTAAATATGCAAAGATGACTGCATCGAAAATACCGCAAAATAGATGAGCTAAAGCCTCGTCAAAAATGCTATGTAACCGCGACTCAGGTGATGCAACCCCCCTAAGGTTTTTCGCGAATAACTCGCGTAAAAAGCGGCCGATCGCGACGAAACTTTCAGTACCCTCGCATTGATTATTTTTACACCTACGCTGAAAATTTCATGAACCTGACCCCAATGACCTTTGACCTGTGACCTCTTTTACGTCACCATATTTGGCCGAAATCGCGAATCGGCGTATGTCGGCTCGCATTAGCCGCGCGTTTGCAAGCTTTTCGTGGTTTCAAACGTTCAAACATGTGATTTGATGTTGCTCCCATGCTTTAGGGTGGGTGTCAAGGTCACCTGAAGGTCAGGTCATTGATCTTTGGTGACCTCGGTTCACTTTTTCGAGTTTTACATGTTTATAGGCTAGTTTTTGGAGCTGAATTCGAATTTAGCAACTATTTGAACATTTACGAAGTAGTTTTGGTGCCTTCGTAACATGTTACGAAGCTGTCAGAGGCGGATGACAGGTACTACGAATACCCGTCACGACCCCTACCGGTTGACATGACCTGACCTGACCTGACCTGACCCGACCTGGTCTAAACGCTTAACGACATCATCTGTGATCAAAACTAACACGATATACGTGATCAGCACCCCGGAAAACCCCTAGGCAGCCACGCTTTACGACTTTCTAACAGGTCCCGATATTCCCGATTTTTGGGTCATTGACCTGACCTGGAAGGTCAACCGATGACCTAGGACCTTAAAATTAGGTATCATTGGCTTTCTCTAGTGACGGGCAACACGCTCGTTTTTTCCGCGAAGCTCTAGCTCCATCAGGGGCCAAACGCAAGGGGGGTCGTACCCCCCCCCCCCCTGTGCCGTCGAAAGACTCAAAATGGCCTGTGCCGGCCAGGGTTAAAGGAAATATGTAGTTCACCTTTAACATGGGGTTTTGAACTGGAATAGCAGTTCCGTAGCTTGAGCTGAGACAAGCACAAATCAGGAGCTTTTACGGCCCAACGATCACCCTAGGCAAAGATATTCCATTTCTCGTACCGAAAAAGTGCCTTGCTGAGGAATGTGTCTTGCAGGGGCCATTTCCCTCTTTTAAAACTGAAAAGTTCTTCCCACCTACCTATTAAAATAAAATAAAAAATTATAGAAAGGTTTTATTTTCTTCGCTGATCATTTTGAGCATTAAATCATAAATTCATTCCGAAAAAAAAACCTAATTTCGCGTGAGAGTGAACTATTCCCTTTAAGCGCCGCCGGTCGCAACGTTTAAAACCACCCAGACCAAGACCGAGCGATAGAGTGATAGACCCGTGAGCTGCCTCGCCTGACTGCTCCTGCACCGCCGCAACGGCGCACAGGCGCGGCGGTATGCATGCGCGCGTGCGTTGATTGGCTGCCGCTTAGCACGCACTAGGAGTAGGTCGCCGAGATAGCATCCGTGCTGGTGAGTAGGGCCACATGAGTGTTTGTTGTCAGAACAACACGGACGCCGCAGAGACGGACGTGTTAGTGCAGTACCGGGTTGACTGGGACGAGCAGTAACTACTGTTATATCATCAGCCGACGTGGAACCATGAGCCGACGTCGCGTCAGCCGACGACGCTGGTCAATCCACAGCGTCGGTTACGCATAAAAGACGCCGGTCACCGGACATGCGGTGGAGATACGGCGACGATTGCAGCTGGCGGCCGTCGTCCTCCACCTGCTCCGCTAAACATCGGTCCGCGGTGCATTAGCGTAGTAACTACATCAACTCGTCACTGAAAACCGAACAACGAAGGATTAAAATGTGAGTATACCCGTTGGTCGTCATTTAACGTCATTTAAGTAAAAAGAGAGATTGTGACCCATTACGCCCCCCCCCCCCCACACACACACACGCTGGCAGAGGCGTAGCCAGGATTTTGCTCAGGGAGGGGCCACAGATTGCGGCCTAGTTTCGTACCCCCTCCAAAAAGGAAAACTCATCGGCTTTGGCCCACTATTTTTGGAGGGTGATGCAGCTGTTGTTATTCATTTTTATTTTTATTAAATTTTATTTTATTTTTCGCCTTTAAGGGGGGCATGGCTCCCGTGACCCCCACACTTGGCTACGTAGGTATACCTGTATCTAGGTATGCATTATGATATCGTTCATAATTATCGTGTTAAGACGATTCGGACTTCAGATGTGTTGATACCAGTGGTGGGCACTTCGATAACTCCTTTCGATAACGATTATCGAAGTCGTGATTATCGAAGTCGTGATTATCGAAGTCGTGATTATCGAAGTCGTTATCGACGATAACGTTTTTCCAAGTTTATCGTTATTGATTAGCGTTATCGAAGTAGCGTTATCGAAGTCCCCGTTTCGGTCAATCGATAACGATAATTCATCAAATAGACGCGAGCGTATTAAAGGGAATAGATCTCCTTCAACATGAGGGTTTGAACTGAGATAGCAGTTTTGTAGATTGAGCACTGAAAATGCTATTTGGAATTTCTTTCCGCCCAACAAGCTCTGTCGCCAAAGACATTCAAGCTTTTGTTTGTACGTTTGTTTGTTTGTTTGTACGAGAAAAATAACATTTTCACTGTTCTAAGTCCTCCTTTTTGTGTAAGCAGCTGGGTAATAATGGTGTTGTATGAGCGAATGGGTTAAATATTCATTATAGAAGCTTATTCCTTTCAAACATTTTATCCTTTCAATTTCTTTCTTTTTTGAAGTTATCGTTATCGTTATCACGTTGTCGGAGTGACCGATTTGGTTATCGAGTTATCGTTATCGAAGTCGCTGACCTCGAAAGAGGTTATCGAATTATCGTTATCGAAGTCCCGATCAAGTTACGAGTGCCCGCCACTGGTTGATAACTACATACCTACCGTGTAGGCATTCGGTCTATTGTCCTGATAGACATGATATGGATTATGCAATACGGCGAATTGAAAACAAAATCGATCCAAATACCTACTTTTTAAATCGGCTGATACGTCCCCCATTTCAAAAATCCACGGCGCCACCCCTGTCTGGATATTACATGACCCTGACCCTAATGACCTTTGACCTCAGGCCTACGAGTTCCTTCTAGAGTCATCATCATGTCATGCCATATGCCAAAATGCTGAATCGGCGCATGTCAGCGCACATTATCCGTGATCCGTCCGTTTCCAGACATATGAAAATATGTCTGTCACATGCATTATGGTGCTTATTAAAGTCACTGCCTTTTGGGTACCTCGGGTGAATTTTTTAGGTGTTCGACTTTTAGTTAGGACAGTCCTCTAGAGCTCTTTCTGAATTTAACGCCCATTTGAACGTTCGGGAACTAAAATTTCAGACCTTATATAACATATTTCGAAGCTTTCACTCGTGTTTCAAACCTTAGGTACGTATTATTGATAGCCGATGGAACGCAAAATGGTTTACCTGACCTGACCTGACCTGACCTACCTCAAATACATGATACATCGTCTTTGAAAAAATTAGGACAATACTCGACATCAGGAGCCCCAAATCACCACATCGCTTCGTGAAGCTCTAGCAGATCCCGTTTTCCCCGACATTTGGGTCATTGACCTGACGTGGAAAGTCAACCAATGGCCTTTATGACCTTAGAATTGGGTACATCGGCCATTTTGGTCGTGGGCAAAACGCTCGTGTTTTTACAAAGCTTGATCACTGATCAGGGGCCAAACGGCTGGGGGGCCCTATAGATAGATATCGACCCCACATACGCATTTGTCGTTAGACACTGTACCTAAAAAGGCCAGGGCGGGGCCTAATTCTGATGCTCATTAACTAACTCAGCACCCACAGTGGCTGGATGAGTCGTTTTACGGTTCTCAAGGAGTTTCGAGAATACATTGCACCACCGTTTTCGTTTTGGCACTCGTGATATTTTCCGCAAAGGTTGCGAAATTTTCAAATCTAGGTCATCCAAGGTCAGAGCAATAGGTTACAATCAGAGACCTTTCCCCAAGGTAGCTATTCCAACTGAATGATTATTGATTGCTATGCAACTTTCAACGAGTGATTATGGCAACAGGATGCACAAGTTTACTTATCGGATATTTTTTATGTTTGCCTAGGGTTAGATCATTTTGCGATCTATCCACTGCCGCTAATCCAGAATTGGAGGATCAAAAGCATGCGATAGCATGCTTTTGCATCCGGAAATTCCCATTGGTGGGTCGCTGAAAAAAAGTTCGGCTGAGCCTGTTTGTCAGTATGTAGGTATGTGAGTTTGTCCAAGCTTTTTTGGACCTGGAGTCAAAATGTGTGAACCGATCGGGACCAACGTGGTACCGTTCGACTCGTCACCGGCGAGGTAAACTTTTGGTGCTGGCCTCGGTTCGCTCAGTGCTTCGTGGCACATGCTATTCCACTTCAAAGTTTCGGTGACACGAAATTTTTTGTCAAGGCTACAGGTCAACCCGAGGTCACGGACAAAGCCACACTGGCGGGACACATCGGTAACACCTTGAACCAGTTTCCAGGGGGGTCACCGTCTGCGAGGGGTGCAGGCTGCACGTGCTGGTGGCGGAAAGCCGTTTTGACGTGAGGTCCTCTGGCTCAAAGAAATTTAGAGCTATCAACTTCAAAATCGGTTCAATTGTAGTCCCAGGCAAGGCCTCCAAAATAGTGCACATTTGGTTGAGCTAAACTCTGTGGTGCATGAGCTATGCACGTGCAAGCCGATTGCACCCCTTCGTACGTTGCCACGCCTGCAGGGTAAACAGCGGCTCTAACTGGTTCAAAACTTGCAGGTCATAAGAAAAAATGCATTGAATCTTGACATTTCGGCGAGATAATATCCGAGGGGTGCAAGCTGCGCGTGCGGGGGGGGGGGGGGGTTAACGGTTTTGACGATGGATCCTCTGATCACGGGAAACGTCGAGATAGCGACACAAAAGTCGGTACACTGATAGAACTAGACACATGCTACAGGATGCTATGAAAATGACTGCACTGGGGTGCCTGGGTGATATGAACTATGCACATGCATATCTTACTGTAGGTAGATATCCACACCAATCTCACGTGCTTCCAAGCATTTTTGGGATGTTTCGGTTGGTTTCAGGCAGGGGGGTCGAAGTCTAGTTCATACTAGACTGGCAACCCCACGGCTGACGTCACGATCCCCAGCGTGACGTCACAGCCCAGGGCATTGACCCCTTGAAGCTTGCAATGTTTGATGGTGCTTACAAACTGAACAAAGCTTGTACGTAACAAAAGAGTCATGCTTCTACGCTCGATAATGTGTTTATTGTGTTTTTAGCAGATAAAGCAGACAAAAATTGTTCAAAGGCAGAAACAGCGAGGTGTACGCCAGTCGCCACGCATCGATCTCATCGCATGTGGTGCCCCAAGAGGCGCATCATTGCACCCGTGACCCCTCTTTATGTCCCTAAGGTCATTTCAGGTCAAGAATGGTCTCCAGCAGTTTTTTGTTTTACCGTAACCTTTGACAGAGATATGATTCTTGATTAAATAGCAACAAAAATACCTTAGATGTGTTCAGCCCAACGATACAGATCGACTGATATGCATTACGCATTACGGCATTTTCTGGTCAAGACATGACCTGGAAATGAGGTAAAATTGTCGAAATGACTTTTTGTGGTCAATTCAAAGTTTATTTGACGCGTATTGACGATAGGAGCACGTTTATCTGCATTTTTCCGGCGTAAAATCTCATGGAAATCCGTTGAATAAAGTTTAGGTCTGCGGAGTCGGAGTCGGAGTCGATCGGCGTCGACAGTTTTGCCCGGATTCAGAGTCTTAATCAACATGTCATTGTTCAAATTCGTGGTCTTCGTCTGCTTGCGGAAAAATATTACGTTCGGTGACCTTTCCAAGACCGATGTTTAAGCTGAGTTCCTGTTCATCTTCCTGTTTTGGACGAGCTTTTGAGTAAGAAAAGCAAAAGGGGGTGGCTGCACCCGAAACTGCTTTTATTCACAGACATGTTATTTATAACCACAGTTCTGACCGGGGTCGGAGTCGGAGTCGATTTTGGAAACCAGAGCCGGAGTCAGTCCGAGTCACCGAAAATCAATCGACTCCGCAGACCTGGCAGGGTCGCGGAGTCGAAGTCGGAAATAGAGTCGGCTGGAGTCGATAGGTAATGTACATATGCCCGCAGTCGGAGTCGAAGTTGGTTTTTGGAAGCCGGAGTCGGAGTCGGAGTCGGAGTCAGAGTCACCGAAAATCCATCGACTGCGCAGCCCTGGACTTATAACGGTACCGGAATGAGCTGCTGTTGGAATGTCAAGTGTGTTCACACGATTTTCAGACACCAGAATCTGCATCTTAGATCGTGAAATGGTCATTTCATGGCTCTTCTTCAGGTTTCTAGTCAAGATCTGGTAGGTAGCCAGCGGTTCCTTAAATTTCCCAGGCATCCTCTGGTTCTCTGGCGCCTCAGGTCTCTTGATTTCTCAACCTGTCGGCTGTCTCAACCGTTCACGGTTTTCTGAAGGCTTCTGAGTGGCGGCTCTTCCACCAGCTATATAGCTAAGCTGGTTGTTTCGTGATTCTTGACATATCGCTTAACTTCTGATTCTCAGACAATTTATGATCGATCACACTTAGATCACAAGGATGTTTCTACCGGGATAAAAACAGATATCTCTGTGTATCATTCACTTTACCACCAGGGACTGGCGACTTGCATTCTGTATAACATAATAAGTCTTTATTCTTATTTCTTTACGCGCTGAAATTAACCACCTGTGTCTGGAACCATGATATGATAAAGTAAAAATATTGTGCCAAAGCTAGATAAATTAGATGAGCCCCGAAATACAGGAAAATATCCAAAGAGCTTGTTTTACCCTATTTCATAACAACAAAACTATCTGCAAATACGAGATAGCGTCCATAGCAACCGCCCATAGCAACGTGTTTGTCTGGACCGCGAATCTGGAAAATAAAGTAGATACTGGATAAGTCGACTAGAGTTTGGTCAAAACTACATTGAATTTGATTTCGAAATGGCTTTTTGTGAATCAAATATGAAGTGACTAATTATTTCCTTTCAAATTTTCATACTATTAGAAAACATGCTTGTTTGCTCTATATTTGTAAAGAAACAACTGCAAGGACGAAATATCACGACAAATTCTAGTACCTTGTTGGTAGGAAACTTCGTCCAACCTTATGTTTTAGGGCCTTGGTTTCAGGGTTTCAGGTTCAGTCCAAGCTCAGTCTGGGTTTCGGTGGTTTGGCCCGGTGTGTGCCTTCAGTACCGTACCTCCAATTCTGGCCCAAGGCAACGCAAGAGCGCTGCCGGCATTTAGTTCACTGGGATAAAATTAAACTGCGCCTCTTTTGAACAAAAGTTGTGTTCAAAACGCATATTTTTTGTGATTTTCGGCGCTCTTTGGAACACCTCTTACCGTGTGTCGCCCCGCCCGATGTCGCCCCGAATCCCCAACGGTGTATCAGTCCGATTGGGTCATCCAAGCCTACATTAAAAACTTATAATTGCCGTAGAAAGGAATTGGCAGTACCGGCTAAATTCAGTTGAAGAAAACTATTATAAAACGTAACGTTGTCTTGAAGCGTTTCGGTCCATCGTATGTCTATGTATTGACGTTCCCCGGAATCGTTTCGTTGAATCGGATACGAACCCCGTTACCGTGATGCATGTTACCAAAGCCGTAAATAAATAAAAACTCAGCATATATCGGACGTTTCGTGTTCGGTTTAACACTTCATCGGCGATACTGGCTCGATGTAAGTAGGCCAGTATCGCCGATGAAGTGTTAAACCGAACACGAAACGTCCGATATATGCTGAGTTTTTATTTAATTTCAACGAAAGCTGAGTACTATAAAGCCGTAAATAGGTATGTATATAGAATAGTGCGGCAATTTATAGGTTGAGCTCTATACAGGTCGCACAGGGACCGGCACAATGACCTTCCTGGAGAGCTTAGTCATGTATTAGATTGTTTCTGCATTCGGGTTAAGGCGTGCACATTTTATGTATATACTTATTTAGCAGCCATGATGGACCAAAATACGGCTTGGTTAAAGTGACCATCCTACCTTAACATAAGTTTTGAGTTGAGATAGCCAAAATGGGGTCCCTGGCTTGCATTTACCGGTTTGAGCAGTCACATTACATAAGCGTAGGAACCATAGGTGCAAGGGTGCAGCTGCACCCACAATATTTATCCAGTGGGTGCAGACAATGTATTCTGCACCCACAATAATCTGAACCAAAAACCCCTTTTTTCATCAACACTACTTCCCATGCAGCACGGCAAATTCAGGATATGTTGCCTACTATCCATCTTTCGAAGCATTTGCTACTGTGATGGTCTTCAAAACTTACATTTGTGCTAAAAAAGGGAAATGGAGCATGTGATTGAACACATCCGAACCAATGACCCACTGTCAAAAATTTTAGCCCGATATCTTCGAAAATGGCTAAGTTGGCCGCTTTTACTTTTTGCGGTAGTCAATATTGACAATATTAGCCCTCGCGTGTGTGCAGCGTTTTCCAGCTTCTAATGTGTAGGGGGAGGGGGTCGGTCGGACCCCCCTGCCGTTCGGCCCATGATCGAGCTATAATGAAGAGCTTCGCGGAAAAAAACGAGGGTGTTGCCCGTGACGAGAGGAAGCCGACGATACCCAATTTTAAGGTCCTACTTCATTGGTTGACCTTCCAGGTCAGGTCAATATTCCAAAAGTCGGGAAAATCGGGACCTGCTAGAACTGAATCAGAATCAGAATCAGAATCAGCTTATTCGAAAAAGGTCCGCGTAAAACGGGGCTTTTCACTTTCTCACGTCAATCAGTAAATCAATGGGGAATGTTACTGGGACATCAGCGTAAAGTGAAGCTGTTTTCGGGTTTTTCGGGGTGCTGATCACGAATATCTGATGTTAGTTTTGATCACAGATGATTTCTTCATGCATTTAGGCCAGATCGGGTCAGGTCAGGTCAGGTCAACCATTAGGCGTCCTACCGGCTATCCATAGTAGGTGTCAACTACCTACCACTGACGGCTTCGTAGCATGACATCAAAGCATGACATGACATGCTTTCGTAGCATGTCACGAAAGCACTAAAACTACTTCGCCGCGTAAACGTTCAACTGGATGCTAAATTCGAAATCAGCCCTATAAACTACCCTAGAAACATGTAAAACTCGAAAAAGTGAACCGAGGTCATCAAAGGTCAATGACCTGACCTGACCTTCAGGTTACCTTCACATCCACCGTGATGCATGGGAAGAACATCATTTCACATGTTTGGACGTCTACAATCACAAAAAGACTGGAAACGCGCGGATAATGTGAGCTGACATACGCCAAATCGCGATCCCGGCCGAACATGGTCTCGAGAATCAGGTCACAGGTCAAAGGTCTTTTGGGTCAGGATCATGAAATTTTCAGAGTAGGTGTAAAACTGATCAACTCGAGGGTACTAAAAGTTTCGTCGCGATCGGCCGCTTTTTGCGCGAGTTATTTGCGAACAACCATGGGGGGGGGTTCATCCGACCCCCCTACACATGCGAGGGTCAATGCTTCCAAATGCACTTATTGATCGGTACCTTTTCGACATGGTACACCCTCAAAGCTCGTAACGAGCCTTCGCTCGGGTGTCGCTCCCTACCCCCCCCCCCCCCCACCCGCTTCACCGGCCATGGCTGGATTTCTGCACCCATGCACCCACAATGTTCCAGACGTTCCTACGCCCATGAGTCACAACATCGGAAATGCCTCAAATCGAAAATATCTAATTTCAAAGTTGCAGAACTTTGGATTCAGAGGAGCTAAATGCATTTAAATGCCTCCTCTGAATGTGTGGCGTCAGCGCGGATCTAACGATTTTAAATATTTTATTAAAACGTTTGGTAGCATGCGATGGTATATGCTGCTTTGCGCGCAACAAGTGCCGCACTTTCAGCTGCCAAACTATTGCTTCCAAATAAAGTCGCTGGGAACAGCGGAGATCCCAAAAAGTAAACAAATGTAAAAGTCTAATATCTCAAAAACCAGTGAATATTTTTTTCGGTTAAATTTGATAGATATTCATTTTGCTTTTTCTGAACCGAGCGACATCACTTTCATGCCAATTCCTTAACTTTTTGGAAGGTGGGAGGGTCCCTTTAATACAACTTCTTCTTATCACAACAGCAGTAGGAATGTGCTCTAAATCATTGTTTGACCATTTGTCAAGTGATGTAACCGCCAGTCTGTCCAAACTTCATTCACGGTTATGGAGTAGCTTCTGCTTCGAAAAAGATCCTCGAAAACCTTGAATAGGTATACCTCTTATCAAGTATAGTTTATGAGTATAGTTTACCTGAAAACGTCAAAAAACCTATTATCCGATTGTGCGACTTGGCTTCGATTTAGCCAATGCACACGTGTGATAAGGTCAGAAATATAATTTGACAGCCTCCCGGGTGTCGCCAGCTCTGCCGTCCAGCCATCGCCAGCATGCTGAACGTCTCGTGCCCCGACACGTCTTCCGCGGATGTTGTGAACGTCAGCTGCGAGCCGGCCGTGCCGCCGGCCGACTGGGCCTCCAGCATGGAGCGCCAGGAGATCTCGCGCATACTCAGCGGCCTCGTGCTCTCGGTGGTGATCGTGGCGTTCTCGGCGCCGCCGGCGGCCGTCATCTGGCGCACGCCGTCGCTGCACCGGGTCTCCTACCTGTACGTGATGGTGCTGAGCCTGCTGGACTGCCTGCTGGGCGCCTTCTCGCTCAGCATGGCCTGCGCCGCGCTGCTGCTGGGCCTGCTGGTCGGCGGCATCCCCTGCTGGCTCTGCGTCGTCCTGGAGGCGGCCACCAACGGCTGCATGAACGCCGTCAACGTGGTGATGCTGGCGCTGGGCCGCGACCGCTACCTGTCGCTGGCGCACGCGCTCAGCTACCCACTGCTGGCCACATCGGCCGACGTCAGGAGACACGTCAAGATGGCGGCCGCCTACGGCGCGCTGCACGCCGCCATCTTTATCGGGGCTCGAGTGTACTATGGCTGCGTGAACGCCGTGCAGAAGAGCTGTCTGCCGCTCAATTGGCTGCTGATGCCCGAGTACCGCTTTGTTGCCGCCTTCACGGTCTCTTTCAATATCTTCCTGGATGTCGGCACTATCACCTACAACGGCTTCGTCATGTACTGCGCCTGGAAGGTAAGACTGCCCATCTATGATTTAACCAGCTCGGTCGCCCGTCGCCGAATGTCTGGCGTGATGTCCGGTCACCAGCGCCTGTGCTGTCCCGCTTATGACCAACGCATCCATTGCCATGTTAAACTTTTGGGTCCCAAAAGCCGCTCTGTAGGTATAAGCCGTTCCGAATCACTGGTTTTGCCGTTATTAGTTCGTGCCACCTCAGACCCGATAGGGGACTTTGCGTGGAGCAAGTTAGCATATTGCTGCGATGATTTGATTAGGAACTGAACTTAGTTCAGTAGAACAAACGCACCACTCAAATAACTTTTTAGTCGGCAACTGAACACGCTATTATGGCATCGTTCCAATCATCCATCCTGATCCATTCCACCCCTTTCCCGCTACGGTCCACACTGTCAGTGTCCATGTTATGCTGACCTCCTACTGGCCAATGTGACGGCACTTGACCTGCTCTGCCGTTTGGTTTCAGCTGAGGAGGAAGCAGGTTCATCCCCAGTGCCTGGACCAGGAGCAGGGCCAGCCCAATCAGCGCTCCACCACGAATGCTGTCCGCCACCACATGCGCATATTCGTCTTCACGTTCAAGCTGGCCTGCCTGTTCCTGGTGTGCTCGCTGCCCTACAAGCTGGCCATTGTGCTCTTCTGCCTGGGAGCACACTCGTCCGTAAACCTGATCCGTGTGCTCGCCCTGATCCGAATGATGTACTTCATCCTGGACGGATGGACGTTCTGTTCCAACAGAGAGCTCCTCGATGCCGTCAAAGCTATGTTCAAAATCAAAAACTCTGGTGAATGTCTGTCCGACCGAAGCATTGTGCTGACAACAAACTCGGGTCCTGGATAAGGCTATATGGAACCCGAAGTTTAGAAGGCCTAGTGGCAAATGACACTTAGCAAAACCAAAGCAAAGAAATAGAAACATCCGGCAATAAAATGTCGTGCTGTTATTGCCGAGTTCACTTATCCTAGATTAGAAACTGAACAGCCCTGGCGATGAGGTTAGAGATATTCGATACCTTTTTACTATTGACGGGACATAAAAACAGTACGAGCACAAGTTACTTGTAACTGTGACTGTACTTAGCTCAAAGATAGACCCGATCAAGATACATACAGACAGGGACCCTAACAGCTATTTTGTAGCATTGATCCTTTAAAACCTGATGGGACCATACTCGTACATGAAACAAATGATCTCAAGTATCCGTCCGATAGAAATAAGTTACTTAGTTTAAACGCAGATGATCGGTCATTGATGGTCGTTTTCGCTTCAAATATGTGTAAAGATTCTAAAATTCGTAAATTGAAGTTAGAACGTTTTTGATCTATGATTTTGAAATCGTCTATAGGTAGGGGAAAGTGGGTGTATTGCGCCCTCCTAACCAATTGCGCCCACCAACATTCCCACGGATTCAATGGCATGTTTTGAATTTTGTGTTCGAAAACATTATTCTCCACACTGGATAGTTCCTTTTATAGCCCAAGCTCCCCGAGGAAGCCAATCAGCAAGGCTCATTACGCCATCAAAGATGTTACGGCGTTTTCTTAGCTTTTTTGCAGTGTTTTGAACCGTTGGCTATAAAAATGTGTGATATTTGTGTGGTTTTCAGAGTGATATTTAGAAAGAAAAACCCTTTTTTCATTATATTTCACTAAAACAGTTAATTTCCTTCAACATCTTTATGATAACTTCCACGCTTTTATTAAAAAGTACCTCAATTTTAATTGCGCCCATGGCAATTGCGCCAGGGGGGCGCAAATAGAATAATGGTGTAGCTATTGTATATCACGACAGCATGAATGCATCATTAACTGTTTGCAATAAAGAAGGAGTTTAATGTCAGGCAGGGGAGCAGCCCGCTGTCGTCAGTCCGCAAATTATTTCTCTCGTCAAACTTATAATGCAGCTGCCATTTAGGCTACGAACTTGTGTAATTGACAAAATACGACATTTTCAACATAGACTCAGGCGTGAGAGGTGACAGCTATGATAAAAAAGTAAAAACTGATGTCATAAAACTGTCGAAACAATAAAAATTATTAATTTTGAGAGAAACGATTGGAAATATAACCGTATAGGCGCATACGTTCACATATATCTAGTCGGTTACAGTAAACGTTTTCGTTGCACTTTTACAAGCGTACGAACACATGTAAAGTTATCTACCTGGGCAAAAAAACATCGCGATTTCCACCTACATTTATTATTTAACCAGCGTGAATAACATTATGAATGTTAAAGTAAGCCGCAATGACATTAGACTGCCGGGGTGTATGCATTCCGTCTCATTCGCTTAGCCATGTTAAAGTATAGGGCGCAATTGGGTTCTAATTGCGCCATCCCACTGGCGCAATTTACAGCAGTTGTTGGCAAATGCGCCCTTTTACATGTTTCTGAAAAAGCAGCTGTCAGAAGCAAACGAAACATTCTTAATTGATCGGGAGGCTCTTAAATCGTAGCCAATGAGTTCCTCTTTGAAATGGTCACCAATGCATGCTTATATCTCCAGCGGTTTTCTTACAATTAGCGTTTTTCCTTAAGATGGCGCAATTCACCCTCCTTCCCCTACTGAAGGGGGTGTCACATGCCAAGGGGGTTCATTACTATCACAAATCAACCACAGGTTGAAAAACTCGAAAGCTTTAGGTATCATTTCGCCGTTTTTCGGAAAACGCTCAATTAAGCTAAAAAAAATGATATAAGCGCTCTCCTACAAAAGTAGGTACTACCCATATCTAAATCCGCGATTCATTCTTAGAAACTCACTATTGGATCTCTGTTCAAGTTCAAGGACTCTACATATCCCCATGAAATGTGTCGATCTGCTGTAGTTTTTAAGTTCAGTTGTCCTTCGTGTGAAGGATCTTACATAGGTTCTATACTCGACCTATGTTAGGCTCCACAGCAGTTTGCCAACACAGGGGTAGGTCACACAGAACAGACAAACTCTTATCCAGTCCAGTAGCATCGTCTGTACGGGATCATTCTTTAGCATGTGACACCCCCTTCAGTATAGACGATTTCAAAATCATAGATCAAAAACGTTCAAACCTCAATTTACGAATTTTAGAATCTTTACACATATTTGAAGAGAAACCGACCATCAATGACCGATCATCTGCGTTTTAACTAAGTAGGTATCTTCCTGTAGGAACTGGAAGGCGACCGAATCAACACGAATGATGTTTTATGTCTTGTTTTTGTGAAGTGTGTGATGTGCATCGACTGCTTGTATATTTATGTCATCAAATAAGTTACTTTATTATGATGTGGAGTGATCAAAATGGGAATCATTCAGCTTCTGGCGACGGGACACTTACATTTGATGTTGCAGATGGAATTCATCTTTTGAATCTAAATACTTATAGAGGTTATGGTACCAAGTAATTCGCTCAATTTCGGAGACACCTGAAATGATTTTCCCATACAATGTGCACTCCGAAAAAAGCTTGTAAATATGTGTATTCTCAGGTAAGGCGTCCGGTCACGTCAAGTGCGAGTTTTGTGTGAAAAAGTTCGTGTCATCGATATAACTAGGTGAACACAGGTCACGATTGGCGGATGAGTTCTTAGTTCGGGAATGTCTGGATTTCTGGAATGTGTTTTATGTGCTTGCTATCCTGGAAAGTGTTGTCTTATGGAATGTCATGGAATCCGAATATCATATCATATCATGATCATCAATGTTCCTGACCTGTGTGCTCACTTAGTAACGACCTTTGTCACACGTATGCTATAAGCTGATTTAATTGCACGGCACACCGCACTTGCTGTCTGTTCACTGCGCTGTTGGCAGGCTGTGGTTTGCCGATTAACTCCGTGCTGTTAACCCGCGCACCGACGGGGGTCTGCGCAAACTTAGTACCGACGGGGGGGGGGGGGGCGGATGACCGCCCCCCCCCCCTGAGATCTCGAGAACGAAGCAAGATAGCGACAAGCGGTAAACGGCATCGGATACGCACGGTCAAGATCTACAATTTTTACAAAGGTCATTTTCAGGTCAGGTCAAAGATGACGTCACAGGGGTCGAAAAAGTCAAAATGGCGGCGCTAAATATGGAGAGAGTTTTTCTCGAATAACTTTCGAATTATTCAAGATAGGAACAAACTAAGGGCATCATCGTGATCCTCTCGTCAATCCGCATCGAATGACATATATGTTGACCTCGAAAGGTCAAGGTCAAAGGTTGACCTCAGGTCACGTGACCTCGAGGTCATCATGTATATCATTCGATGCGTCCTGACGAGCTGAACACAATGAGACCATCCACGCGTCTGTATCTTGTTCCTGTACGGAGTTATTGGCCAAAAACCTTTGGTGACCTTTGATGACGTCACATGACCTCACAGCTGCCCAACAGCAAAACAGACCTCAAGATAGTGAAGGTTGATCGTATATGAAGTCATGTATGGTATATGGGGCCATTCCGACCCGTTTTAGTGGTAAAAACAGGGAGTTGATTTTTCCCCCATTGACTTATAATGGGGAGGTCGCGAAATTGACCTGACCTTAGGTCACCGATATCAAAATTCCGAGATATACAAATTGTAGCTACTAATGACCTAATAACATCCTGCGACTTTCAAAGGCCTCCGACATCTACTGTAGCTCTGGCACGGTGACAAAGTTGCAAAAAAGTGACTTGAGGTTGGGTCATTCAAAGTGACCTGGTGACCTGACCTTGAAAGGTAGGAGGTTCAAACTTGCACACCATGTGTAAAATTGATAAGGCAATAGTCATACCAAATTTCGCGGCGCTACGCGCCGCGGTTTTCCCGCTATTCGCGAAAAACCTCAGGGGGGGGGGCGGATATCCGCCCCCCCCCCCGTCGGTGCGCGGGTTAACAACCGGTATGTCAAAGTCAAGTGGCCCATTGACAGCACCGTGTTCTGTTGTGGGATAGTTCTGTGTGTGATTGCAGATTCATGTCATTGAGACGGGCAGAGATGGTTTGCATATGTGATTTGGCGCGAATGCATAGTGATTATTTGCTTTACATTATTGATAAGGTGGATGATATACTGAGGATCAGCAGACGTCCTCAACAGAAATGTCTGCACTATAACACACGCAACATAGCACTGTTGGCGTTAAGTCAAATTTAATATATGCGCTACATAATCAAAAGAAACATATATCTTTTGAAGCACCGATCAATATCCATGGCGATTGGCAGTTTTTCGTAAGCTTTTCGTGGCAGCTTTCGGTGAGCCGTTTCTCCCTGTTCCATGAGACATGCATATGCAAGACTTCAAGGTGAGAAGTAACTTTGTTTAACTAATGATTTAATGAATTTAGTTTATTAATTAATAAATCAAATTAATTAATTAATCAATTCAATTAAGAATTAATTACTGACGTTTGGGTGGGTAGGTAAGTACCTAATCATTTTTTTCGGAACTCCTATTTATCTAAATATTATTGCATAATTTTAATTAATAAAATATTTTTAAATTTGATTAATTAAAAAATCTAACAAAATTATTACATAATTTTTCCGAGGAAGGCACTTATTTCAGAAAACTAAAGTAGACGTCCAGTAAGATAGACAGAATCACAACAAAAATTCGTGTCTTCGTAAAAATATGTATTTCGGTATTGTGAAAAACATTTGTTTGGTTACAAAGACGAATCGTCTATAAAATACGAAGCGTACTCGTATCGATCCATTCACCATACTTCCAGTAATGAAACAATGAAGTTCTATGAATGCATAAAGATGAGGGATATGGACGACCCACACCGTTTTGCAAATAATGAGAAACGCTCGTACCTGCGCAGTCAGAGTATAGGAAGCTTCAACCGCTTACCAGCGACTACATAAATAACAACAGGCACTCTGGTGAAGTGGTCCCGCCACGCACACTATTTGCGCATAACGCCCCGACCTAGCTCAGTGCTGTTCACGCAGCACGTACATTCACACATTCATACACTGCACTTCGCGCACATACTCGTCGTTTATTTTTTTATTCTGGCTTATTTCTGAGTGGGCTGTTTTGAGCAATAACAACGCGGCGTCAGCCGGTGGCCGGGGGCCGCCGCCACGCCACCGGCAGACGCCATAACAAGCTTATGGAGACGCTGGCGGTGAGCCGTTTCTCCCTGCGCCATCCCCGGGGGGCGGTGTGCTGGTGGTGGTGCCCGTGCGGCAGCGGCTCGGCGCGGGAGCAGTCCGCTCCGGTCCGCCGCCGGCGGCCGCACGGGCACGGGTCGGCAGCGCCGTGCACGCTGCCGATCCTGGTAAACATTAACAACAGTCAGCCGGTTGAAGGCTGAACAGGAGCGGCTGGGCGGCCGCGCGGTGGCGATGCTGGTATCCGGCGGGCTCGGAGTCTGGGATCGGCTCGCTGTTAGGTGCCGTGTCACAGCTCGGGTGCGGCACCGCGGCTCCGTCGGTGGTGGTCGGTCGAGCGGTGTCGAGCGCCATCTGTGGCTGCCGTGGTCGGTGCTGCCTCCACTCGGCGACCTGGTGGGAACCTCAGGTGGCAATCGGCCGCGCGGCGGGAGACTGCACCGAAGCGGTGGGTGTCTGACCGGCCGGACACCAGGCCCAGTTAAAGCTTCGGATGTGTCTCCTGTTGTACCTTAGTGGTGCCCGGATTGCCTGCCTGCCCATCAGGGCATCCGGACTGTCCTCATTCAAATCTGAAACAACAGAGACCTGTGTTAATCGTCAGACATGAGGCTAAGTTGAAAGTAAATGCTTTTCTGACCGAACCTTTTTTACACACGGAGCAGGGAGACATTGTGAAACAAAACAGGGTATCTATTTAAATTAATTCTCGTTCAATTGCAAAACGTGTCTGTCCCTACAGCGAACATTTCCCGAGAAATAAAACCGCTTCGACAACGATAGGAAACCGAAACGGTACGCAGTGCGCACACCGGTTGCATTCCAATACGACGGAGAAACAGAGCGAATCACCGATCAGCACGACGATATCTCGAATGTGGA